CTTTTTCTGTTTATGTGGTACTGAGGAATTGAACCCAGGGCTTCATGTAGTCAGGCAAGCACTCAACCACTAAGCCACGTTCCCAGCACCTTTTTTTTTTTTTTTTTGTCATTGTGGGGCTTGAAATCAGGGTTTGGGAACTGTTCATGGACATTTGTGCTTAAGGTTAGTGCTCTACCACTGTGAGCCACAGCTCTATATTTAGGTGGTTAATTGGAGATAAGAGTGTCACAGCCTTTCCTGCCTGGACTGGCTTCGAACTGTGAATAGCTAGGATTATAGGTATGAACCACCAATGCCCAGTTTTGTGTGTGTGTGTGTGTGTGTGTGTGTGTGTGTGTGTGGTGGGACTTGAACTCAAGGCCTTGTGTTCTCTCTTGGCTTTCTCACTGAAGGCTGGTGCTCTATCACTTGAGCCATACCTCAACCCAAGCTTTTTGCTGGCTAATTTGGAGATGATAGTCACTTGGACTTTTCTCCCCAGGCTGGCTTTGAACCATGATCCTCATATATTAGCTTCCTGAGTAGCTAGGATTATTGGATTGCCAGTGTTCAGCATATAGTCTTTAACTGTGCATCTGTTGTTGAGTACCTTGGTTGATTCCACAGTTTGGCTGTTGTGAATAAACAATTCACGGAAGTAGTAAACACGTACACGAGTTGTCTTTCTTGTGTATTAGATTCCTTCAGATATATGCCCATAGTGCTGTGGTGAATTTATAAAGTAGGTCAGATTTCAGCTTTCTGAGGAATTGTTAACTGATTTCCATAGTGGGTGCACATAGATGCTAGGTGACTTCTGCTTTACAACCAAGGTAAGTTCTGCAAAGAGAGTGTACTGGTAGAAGAGTCCATAGGACCATGTATGCCCTTTGTTAATGGCCTGCTAGGGCAGGAGATGTAGGCTCCATTATAGGCAAAGTATTTTAGGAAATAGAATGCAGTTTTTTTTTGTTTTTGTTTTTTTGGTCGGTTGTGAGGCCTGAACTCTAGGCCTGGGTGCTGTCCCTCAGCTCTTCAGCTCAGTGCTAGCGCCTTACTACTTGAGCTACAGCACCACTTCCGGCTTTTTTCTGCTTATGTGATGCTGAGGACTTGAACCCAAGGTCTCATGCATGTGAGGCAAGCACTCTACCACTGAGCCAACCTTCCCAGCCCAGCTTTTTTTGTTTGTTTATTTGTTTTTGGTAGTTTGTGGAGGGCTGTTTTTCATATTCCCTGTTAAATGTCTTCTCTTCATCATTATCCTATAGAGATTTTGTAGACATGCTCTACAAAGGGATCATAATGTGCACTGCAGACACAGAAATTCAGCAGTCTGTCTTCTGTTCTCAGCATTCACTTTCTACCCATGTGCCTTCAGTGCAGAGCTCCTCCTGGGTGCTGAGGTAGGCCTCTCTGCCTGCTCCTCAGTCTACATAACAAATTAGATCTGCTTTATTCATTTGTATTTTTTCATAATTCTTCTGTTCCTATAATTTTTACTTTTTTTTGGTAGTGCTGGGATTATTAAATTTAGGGAATACTAGTCAGATGGTCTACCATTGAGCTACATCATCAGCCCTAGTTATTGCTTTATTCTGATTCTATGTATTTGGGAGCAATTCATAACTTTTTCTTATCGTGATATAAGTAAAACACTTAACTATACCTCCATGAATCAGTAACCTAGAACCATCTATGTGTTTGTATTTTTCCTCTTTGTGAACTCACAAGATTTGTATGTGTGTGTGTGTGTTGCTGTGTGTGTGTGTGTGGTGCTGTCCCTGACCTTTTTTGCTAAATGCTTGCACTCTACCACTTGAGCCACAGTGCTACTTCCCAGGAATCTTCTTTGCTGTCATTTCCCCCCTGGTTTTCCCCTCACAAAGTATGTTTTTTTGTTTGTATTTGTTTTTTTATTGGAAAAATACTGTACAGAGGAGATACAGTTACATGAGTAAGGTAATGAGTACATTTCCTATCAAGCAGTTACATCCTCCTTTGTTTTTCCCCTAGTATCCCTTCCCTCCCCAACAAAGTATGTTTTTGTGCACCAAATGGTTGATAAATTAGAGATACTTTCAGTATAGAAAATTTAAAAAACATAGCACAAAAGGGAAAATCAGAAGACCAATTTATAATCTCATAACTCCAATACTGTAAGAATATGTCTTAATCCCAACTGGGTGGTTGATGGACATGGGGAGATTTCAGTTTGAGGTCAGCTGGAGCACAAGTTAGCCAGACTATTCTTGTCTCAAAAATTGAGTCAGAGCCAGGCACTGGTAGCTCATGCTAATCCTAGCTACTTGGTAGGCTGAGATATGAGGATTATAGTTCGAAGCCAGCCCAGGGAGGACAGTCTGTGAGACTCTTTATCTTGTATTAACTACCAAAAAAGCCAGAAGTGGAGCCATGGCTCAAGTGATAGAGGACAAGCCTTGACCACAAAAGCTCAAGCCCCAAGACAGGCACACACGTGCACTTACACACATACATACACAACATTGAGTTGGGCATGCTGGTGTGTGCTTGTTGTCCCAGCTGCACAAAAGATAAAGGGAGGTTGGCCAGTGCTAAAAGGACATATCTTAAAAAAATTTTTTATTATGATGACTATTAGTGATGTACAGCTACTTTATTTTCTTTATATATTAGTTATACAAGGGAGGATTTTTTTTTTTTTTTTGGTTGGTCATGGGGCCTGAACTCTGGGCTGGGCGCTGTCCCTAAGCTCTTCAGCTCAAGGCTAGCACTGTACCACTTGAGAAACAGTGCCACTTCCAGCCTTTTCTGCTTGTGTGGTACTGAGGAATCGAACCCAGGGCCTCATGCTTGTAAGGCAAGCACTCTACCACTGAGCCACCTTCCCAGCCCATGGGGGAGGATTTTATTGTTAAATTTCCACACATATTTACAATATATTCCAATCAGTCTTACCCTTCTAACACACTTCCTTTTCCCATTCTCAAAACAATTTTAGCCAAGCACTGGTACATCATACCTGTAATCCTAACTACTCAGGAGGCTGAGATCTGAGGATGGTGATTTGAAGCCAGCCTGGACAGCAAAGTCTATGAGACTCTCTATTTTCAGTTAACCAGCAAACTTATCTCTGGAAGTGGTTCAAGTGGTACAATATAAGCCTTGAGCAAAAAGCTCAAGGACAGTACCCAGGGCCTGAGTTCTAGCCCTAGTCCTGGCACCAAAACAACAAAACAATTTAAACAAAGCTTCACTGTTCTGTTTTCATAGTTGCAAACAATCTGCTTTGATCATATTCATCCTCTTTAATCTTCCTTGTTAGCCTAAACTCCTTCCTGCAAGGTCCTCTCTATATACAGCCTATTTTCTTTCTCTATTCCCCCATCCCTCTATCAACGGTTTTCATTGAGGTTTTTTTGGTCCCTCATGGGGCTTGAACTCTGGGCTTAGGCGCTGTCCCTGTGCTCTTTAGCTCAAGGTGAGTGCTCTACCGCTTGAGCCACAGCGCCACTTCCGGTTTTCGAGTGGTTTATTGAAGATAAGAGTCTCATGGACTTTCCTGCCTGGGCTGGCTTTGAACCGAGATCCTCAGATCTCATCCTCTTGAGTAGCTAGGATTACAGGTGTGAGCCACTAGCGCCAGCTGAGGTTTTTATTTTAGCTCTCCATAACACAATGGTGCTCAGGAAAGATCTGAACAAGTAATATTTTGGATGATTGGAAGCAGAAATTAATACATGAATTAAAGCTTACTGTAGCCATTAAAATACTCCTCAGGGTGAGTCAGTACACTGTTGACTTCTTTTGTTGGCCTGCTATCTTTAGCCAAATACGCTGTTGTACAGTAGCCTATAATAAAAGCATTCAGGTTTGCAAACAGAGTTTGTAGACAGTGATAAATTATGAAAGTAGTGTCTAGCTAATGATGAGACGACTGAAATTAAGATCTTATAAATTCAATTTAGTCTTTACAGATATGTTCTAAGACTGTCAGGCCAAAATAAAAATTACATTATGAGCCAGGTACTGGTGGTTCATGCATATAATCCTAGCTACTTGAAGATTAAGGTTCATAGCCAGCCTGGGCAGACAAATTAGTAGATATTCTGCCATTCTGATTTTTTTTTTTTTAACCAGTCCTGGAGCCTGAACGTCTTGCATGTCCCTAAGCTTCTTTTGCTCAAGGCTCATACTCTACCACTTGAGCCACAGTACCACTTTCAGCTTTTTCTGAGTAGTTTATTGGATAAAAGTCTCTTGGGGACTTTTCTGCCCAGGCTGGCTTCAAACCCCTATCCTCAGATCTCAGCCTCCTGAATCGCTAGGATTACAGGCGTGAGCCACCAGTATCCAGCCTGATTTTTTTTTCTTTAAACCTGCAGAGTTAAGACATTTAGTAAAAATAAATAAAAACCAAAACAACCAATCTTATTGAGCCAGGCACTAGTAGCTCACACCTGTAAAGCTTCTCAGAAGGCTGAGATAAGAGCCGGGAGCCGGTGGCTCATGCCTGTAATCCTAGCTACTCAGGAGGCTGAGATCTGAGGATCGTGGTTCAAAGCCAGCCTCTTATCTCAAGAAAACCAGAAGTGCTCTCCTTGAGCTGGAGAGTGCCGGGACAGCGTTCAAGCCCCATGACTGATCAAAAAAAAAAATAAAAGGCCGAGATAAGGATTGTGCTTTGAAGCCATCTGGGTTCAAAGGCAGCCTGAACAGAAAAGTCCATGAGACTTTTATGTAATTAACTCCCTCCCCCCCCAAAAAAAATACCAACCCAGAAGCAGAGGTTTAGCTCAAATCTCTGCCAGCCTTGAGTTAGAGAGCTTAAGAGAAAGTATTCTCTGAGACCTAGCCTCAGTACCAAAACCAGAACAAGCCACCTCATTTCTTTCTCCAGTCTGCTTTCTTTTGGAAAAAGAATATGAGGACAGTGTCAGTATTGAAACTTTGGTCTTCATTTTCTTTTGTGTTGTCTCTATCTTGTTTTTAGTCCTTCAGGATGTGTGCTTAAGAAATATTTCCTTGTTTTTCAGGTTCTAAATGGCTTCTAAGAAGTTGGGTACAGATTTCCATGGTAAGTGGACTATTGAATATTACAATTGAAGTTATCATTTGGTAGAGAATTTGAACTCACTTGGCATCTTTGTCTTTTTATATGAACAGTTTGAAAAAGTAAAGCTGTACAACATGTAGCATATACATCAAGAACCTTCGATAACTTTTAAAGTGTTTCTTTAAATGGGCAGTTAAATTTTCTGGTTATTGTACTTGAAGCTACATAAGAGGTAGATAAGGACTAAGCCAGATTTGTTGTCATTCATAACTGTTTTCAGTCACTTACTGTTCCCATTCTTGTGTCTTGGTCATAGCACTTCTCCATTTGTATGTAAAAAATTTTTAATCTTTTAGTTAAAGCTTTTGTTTTATTTGTCTTACCCTAGTTCTCAAAAGGAACTAATTTACTAAGAATCAATCAACATATTAGAGATATGAATGATAGTAATTATAATTTTGAACTTGAAACCAAATAGTTTATCTTAAGATATGATAACAGTGTTTATTGGCCCAATGACAGTGGCTCATGGCTGTAAATCTACTAAGGAAGCTGAGATCTAAGGATTGTGGTTTGAAACTAGCTTCAGGCAGGAAAAGGTCATGATACTCTTGTCTCCATTTAACCACCAAAAAACCAGTAGAGCTGTGGCTCAAGTGGTAGAATCTAGCCTTCAGCAAAAAAGCTCTGGGATAGCACCCAGGCTCTTGAGTTCAAGCCCCAAGATTGGCACAAATAATAATATCAATAATAACAATAATAATAATGTTATAGTGTTTATTTTCTGTCCTGGGCATGGTAGTGTAAACATGTAATCTGCACTCAAGTGGTTGAGGCAAGAATATGTTCAGTTCAAGACCAGCCTAGGCTAACAGCAAGAACCTGTCTCACCAAAACAAACCAAACTTTTTCTTCTCCCCATTAATAATACAACAAAAACCCCAAGAAACCTAATTCTTACCTGTACTTAAGGGAAATTAAGATGCTTAAGAAATTAAAATTAGGCCATATTTTTCTTTTTTTTGGGGGGGGGGTCCAGTTGCCGGGTCTGAACTCTGGGCCTGGGTGCTGTCCCTCAGCTCTTCAGCTCAAGGCTAGCGCTCTACCACTTGAGCCACAGCGCCACTCCAGGTTTTCTGGTGGATTATTGGAGATAAGAGTCTCTTGGACTTTCCTGCCTGGGGTGGCTTTGAAACTCAATCCTCAGATCTCAGCCTCCTGAGTAGCTAGAATTATAGGCGTGAGTCACCAGTGCCCAGGTATTTCATGTTATTAATATGTATTTATGTATATTTATTTTATACTTTGGTTATAAAAATTTTTTAATACTTTTGTTTCGTAAATCGTTTCTCTGTGGCCATTGGGAATTGTTTCTTATTGGTCCTAGCCTTAACCATGAGAATAGGGCTAGAGCTTTTAAAAGTATTATTTTTTTTATTAGTCCAATCTTGATTACTTTGTATGTTAGCAGGAGACTTCATTTCTTGTCTGTTAATAACTGAGGGTGCTTTTTTAGTGCTATTGCCAATTTATTTTTAGAGATTGAGATTGAGATAAGGAGATGTTTGATTTGCCAGTTTGTAGATTTTAGAATTTTGCTAGGCAGGACTTTTAGTAGCTATAGAGGTTTGCCTTATAATTTCTTACTCTGTGCTGTCTAATATACAAGGCATATGTTTTAAACATGTAAATTATAAAGTGTAGTACAACTTAGGAAGCTATCTTGAAAACTAGAGCATTACCAGTACTACCTGTTTACCTGTTCCCTTCTAGTTCCAACGAGTTAGCTATTTTCCTGAATTTGATCATTCCTTCCTCTTACAAATCACATACTTAGCTCTTTTTTGTGGGGGTTGAGGTATGGGGATTGAATTTAGGGTTTTGTACTGTCAGAGAAGTATTATGCCAAATGCCTCCAGCTTTTTTGTTCGTGGGTTTTTTTTTTTGGTTGTTTTTGTTGGTTGTGGGGCTTGAACTCAGGGCCTGGGTACTGTTCCTCAGCTCTTTTCTCAAGGCTAGTGCTCTATCACTTTGAGCCACACTGCAACTTCCAGTTTTTTTTTGTTGTTGTTGTTGGTCATGGGGCCTGAACTCTGGACCTGGGCGTTGTCCCTCAGCTCTTCAGCTGTAGATTAGCGCTCTACCACTTGAGCCATAGCACTACTTCCAGCTTTTTCTACTTATGTGGTGCTGAGGAATCGAACCCAGGGCCTCATGCATGCAAGGCAAGCACTCTACCACTGAGCCACCTTCCCAGCGCTTGAACTCTGGGCCTGGGCGCTGTCCCTCAGCTCTTCAGCTCAAGGCGAGCGCTCTACCACTTGAGCTACAGCGCCACTTCCTGTTCATAAATTTTTGGCATCAATTTTCATGTTATGGGTTGCAAATAGACTCTTTCACCTTTTGATTTTTTTTGTACTCTTTATGCCTTTTGGATAGATAAGCTCCTAATTATAATTGCTTTTTTTAGTCTTTTTTTTTTTTTTTGGTCCGGTCATGGGGCCTGAACTCTGGGCCTGGGTGCTGTCCCTCAGCTCGTCAGCTCAAGGCTAGTGCTCTACCACTTGAGCCACAGCGCCTTTATGTGGTGCTGAGGAATCAAACCCAGGGCCTCAGGCATGCAAGGCAAGTGCTCTACCACTGAGCCACCTTCCTAGCCCCCTCTTGAACTCTTGATTGGCTTTATTGCTCATGGATGGCATTGTACCACTCCAGTTATACCTCCAATCTGGTATTTTGTGGGTTAATTGGAGTAATTGGAGCTAGAGTCTCTTGTACTTTTCCTGTTGGAGCTATTAAAACTCTAATCCTGCTCATTTTTCACCTAACTTTATTTGAATTATCTCTCTTCACCATGAATCCCATGTATATACATATATGTATATAAATATATACATATATATAAACTATTTTAAAATTAGGGTACATCTATAGCATGAGGGGGGTTTCGTGGTGATATCTTCACACTGTACTTTGAAAAAATTCACCTAAGAATTGTTCATAAATTTTTGTTACTACTTCTTTTTTTTTTTTTGTGGGTCAAATTGCTATTCCTAGAAAGTTTTGTTACTACTTCTTTTTTTTTTTTTTTGTGGGTCGTGGGGCTTGAACTCTGGGCCTGGGCGCTGTCCCTCAGCTCTTCAGCTCAAGGCGAGCGCTCTACCACTTGAGCTACAGCGCCACTTCCTGTTCATAAATTTTTGGCATCAATTTTCATGTTATGGGTTGCAAATAGACTCTTTCACCTTTTGATTTTTTTTGTACTCTTTATGCCTTTTGGATAGATAAGCTCCTAATTATAATTGCTTTTTTTAGTCTTTTTTTTTTTTTTTGGTCCGGTCATGGGGCCTGAACTCTGGGCCTGGGTGACTTGAGCCACAGCGCCTTTATGTGGTGCTGAGGAATCAAACCCAGGGCCTCAGGCATGCAAGGCAAGTGCTCTACCACTGAGCCACCTTCCTAGCCCCTATAGTTTGTTTTTTTAGGTATCATTTTAGAAGTTTTTTGCTTCTAGGCATAATATTTCATGTTTTCCCTTCCTCCCTTTCTACTTCCTTCTCTCACTTATTCCCCCCCCACCCCTTTGGGGGGGCGGGGGCAGGGTGGTGGTGGTAGTAGTGGTTGTGTGTGTGTGTGAGTGTGAGTGTGTGTGTGTGATTGAACTCAGGGCTTGGAGCATACTTGGTAAGCAATTTGCCTTTGAGCTACATCATCCATTTGTAAGCTGTTCTAACACATTCAGTAGTGTATTTATTTATAATGTGCTATTCCCAAATCTGCTATTTTTGGAGTTGTAAAACTAGAGTGTTTTTGTTGTTGTTGTTGTTGTTTTTGTTGGTTGTGGGGCTTGAACTCAGGGCTTGGGCGCTATCCCTCAGCTCTTCAGCTCAAGGCCAGCGCTCTACCACTTGAGCTACAGCGCCACTTCCGATTTTCTGGTGGTTTATTGGAGATAAGAGTTTCACAGACTTTCTTGCCCGGGCTGGCTTTGAACTGAGATCCTCAGATCTCAGTCTCCTGCGTAGCTAGGATTACAGGCCTGAGCCACCAGTGCCCGGCTAGAGTGTTTTTTTTTTTTTTTTTTTGTCGGCTGTGGGGCTTGAACTCAGAGCTTGGGCGCTATCCCTCAGCTCTTCAGCTCAAGGTGAGCGCTCTACCTCTTGAGAGCCACAGGCGTGAGCCACTGGTGCCCGGCTTCCTTTAAGTCTTAGATGAAATAAAAAGTACAATTGCAAACAAAAAGTACAATGCTGACGTTTATATTTGACTGCCCTTTTTTTCCTTTTCCCCCTTCCAGGGCTTTGCACATTATAATATAACATATATTATGCATAATATATAATATAATATATATTGTATATAACATAATATGTAATATTATATATATAATATAAATGAGTACTATACTACTGAAGCCACACTCCCTGCCCATAACTTTTTACTCTTTTGTTGTTGTTGGTTTGGTGCTAGTCCTGGGGCTTGAGAACTCAGGGCCTGGCACTGTCCTTGAGGTTTGTTTTTTTGCTCAAGAGTAGTGCTCTACCACTTGAAGCACAGTTCTACTTCCAGCTTTTTGATGGTTAATTGGAGGTAAGCTTCTCTTTCTCTCTCTCCCCCCTTCTCCCTCTCCCTTTCCCTCTCTCTCTCTCTTTCTCAGTACTGGCTTGAACTCAGGGCCTGGGCATTGTCCCTGAGCTTCTTTTGTTCAAGGTTAGCACTCTACTATTTGAGCCATGGTTCAATTTCTCTTCTGTGTAAGTTAGGTTTGGAGCCTTACTAGTTTCCTTTCATGGTACATGCTTTCCTCCAGTATGATAATTTCTCCTTGTATTCTGTGCATTTGTGGAAATGAAATGAATACTTCTAGTCATCTTTTTTTTTTTGGTTCTGGAGCTTAAACTCAGGGCTTTGTTTTTGCTAGGCAGGCACTCTACTGCTATGCCATGTTTTTAACTGTACCTCCTTAGTCTTTACAGCTTCATTTTGCTAGGGAAATAACTTTCACAGTTACCTTAGGTTGG